ATTTTTTCACCGCTTCTGCTTTGACCACTTCTGCTTTGGCCACTTCCACTTTGGCCACTTCTGCTTTGACTTAATGTAATTCTGTATTTTTCAAATCTAATTCCGTTTTTTCAAATGTTGTGTTTCTGCTGTTTTTGTTGTGTTTTTTCAAATGTCATTAAAAAAAAAATGTAATTCTGTTTTTTAAAATGTTGTTCATTTACACCTCAGGGCCACTTTAACAAAGACATTTTAAAACTCACAAAAAATCTTTTGTGCATCAGACTTTTTACATGAACTGTCCCAAAATGTGTTCCTGCTAGTGAGACAGATTTAAATTTAAACTCAAGGGCTGAAACTTAGGCCTGATGAACCAGTTTAACACATTTCAGTCATTTCAAAGTATATTACTCTGCATCTTGTCTTCTTCTTTTTGCTTTTCCCTCTTCAGGGGTCTCCACAGCGAGTCATCCTCCATCTCTGTCCTCACTCCATCTACCTCATTCTCCTCGCTAACTGCATTCTTATATCTCCTCTTTGTCTTTTTCCATTTTCTAACATCCTTCGACCAGTATACCATCACTCTGCAACTTATGACACGGTAAAATCATAAAAACCAACCAGAACAAAACGTAAAATGTATCTGCCACAACTTTTAGAAAGAATATTTGACTCACCTTTGTTTGTGTGCCTTCCAGAGACGCTCATAAGAAGATGTGAGACGTTTGTGGTCCTGCCCTGAAGCCCGGGTGAGAATTTTAATCCTCCTGTCAGAAAAGTCTTGATAGATACCAAACTAAAATCACTGAAATCAACGTCTGCAGATAGGTTTGTGTACATGCGTTCATGTAGTGATATACATGAGCGTACAGTGTTTAAATGCAAAGAGAATAAAGTGAAGTCTGTCCCTGAGCTCCATCTGCCTCAAGCTTAATCCTATTTCAGAGCTAATCTGATCAGTAGGCTTCAGGTTGTTAAACGTGAAGATGTGCTCTGATGACAGTTCTCTGGATAAGCTGTAGTCTCTGACGACATATCCTCGGACAGACGCAGACTTGAGAGCTGTGCAGCATTTCAAGAGAGCAGGTGTGTGTGTGTGTGTGTGTGTGTGTGTGGAGGGGGTTTGCTGAGAATAACCATATTACAATAAATGCAACAGATATCACAGAAAACTAGAGAAACTGCATTTCCTGCGAAAAAGCAGTGTGAATGTTTACTGCAGAAGAACTTGCTGAAAAACAGCTGAAATGGAAGAACAAGGCTGCATTAGCAGAAGAAAACAGAAAGAACACATATTTGCTGAATTAGGCTTAAATAAGCTGCAGCACAAAAATGAAGAAATTTAGCAAAATAAAAAAGAAAGGCTGAAATTAGCTGCAAAAAAATAGCTGAAAAGTATGCTTAAACTACCAGAAGGAAGCGGATAGAGCCGAAATGAGCTAAAAAAAAAAAGTGGAATTAGCTGCTAAATCTAAAATTAGCATCAAAGGAGCTAAACAGTAGCTGAAAGAGAAGGAAAAGCTGAAAAGAGCATAAAAAAACTGAAATTTTCAGAAAGAAGTTACTTCGGCTGAAAGTAGCAGAAATTAAAACCTTGACTTTATCTGAAAACAGCTGAAATAAGCTAAAATGCCAAAAAGCTAGCTGAAAGGGTAGAACAAGCTTAAATTAGCAGACGAAAGCAGAAAGAACACATTTGCCCAATTAGACTGAAAGAAGCAGAAATTAGAACAAAAAAATGGAAATTATATGAAAAACGCTGAAATTTGTAAAAAAAAAAAAAACAGCTGAAAAGTAGCTAAAAAAGCAGAAAGAAGCTTAAATTACCAGAAGCAAGTGGAGAGAGCACATTTTTGCTGAATGAGGCTGAAAAAAGTTGAAACAAGTGCCAAAACTGTGGAATTAGCCAAAAAAAAAAAAAATCTAAAATAGCAGAAAAGGCTGAATACCATGAGCTGAAAGGAGCATGAGAAGCTGAAATTAGTTGAAAGACGTTAAAAGAAGCACAGACATGTTCTAGTTAGCAGAAATAATCAAAAAGGATGAAAACAGCTGAAGAAACTGCTGAAATTAGCTGAAAGTATCTGGGAAAAAAAAGTTTAAATCTGCACATGGAAGCTGAAAGAAGCTGAACCAGAAAAAGCGTGAAAGGAGCAGTAAAAGGTTGTAAACAGATCTAAAGATATGAAGGATGGAAAATGAGCTCAATTCATTTTATATGAGGAACAAATGGCAGAAAGGGCTAAATATTTCAAAAAGCTAAAGTTGCACCAATACCAAAAGTCATAGCACCAAGAGCTGAACGTTTTGATTCATGATTTTTTAAAATAGCACAAAAGTTGTGGAACGAGAAAGATGCCATAAAACAATAGAAAAAGGATCACAATAGTGTGAATGCTTCATCAACGTTCACACAATGACAGAGTGAGTCAGGGGACTCAAACCCAGGAGGATCATGTGTAAAAGCAAAATAAAAAGCGTCAGAGACATGAAGTGGGTAATCAAAGTTTTCTTCTAATTTAAACTCTGCACAATATGTTCCCTTTTATATTGTGCAACACCTGTTAGTAATTTGTGCAGTATGTTACCTTTGTTATAGTGTAATACTTGTTGATAATTTGTGTGATAGGTAACCTTTAAAAACGTGCAATATCCATGAATATTTGGTGAAATATACTTTATATGATGTTTAATATCTGTCCCAATTTGATCAATTATTGTCAGTTTAGACTTCCACAGTTTGTTTGTTGCAGTCACTCATCAATACTTGTGTTTTGGTGTAAGTTTTATTGGTGCATATCACAGTTATGTTTGTATATTTACACATTTTCTGCAGAAATATTAGTATTTTTGTTTATTTGTTGACTCACCGAACCATGGTGGTGTCAGTTTTTGAGTCTTTTCCTTACATTATGGTCATCTTACTCCCTACTTTACATTTAGGATGATTTATTGTGTTGTCTGCTGCTACGCAGATCTCTCCATCAGGTGCAGCATACAGTAAATAAGTTTTATTTTTCTACAAATTATACAATCTCTATCAAGCTTGGCCACAACAGTGCAGTATTTCAAACAGAGAAAAAGAGATTAGAACAAAATCACTAGTGATAAATAAATGACCGGTCCTGGGATACAGATTTATGACGTCATATAGTGATGTCGTCTAAATCCCGGCCTCTGTAGACTTCACTAACGGGGCGGAGCGTCAGCGGTGACTTGTTGTTTCCGTTTTCGTTCGTGTCCGGGTTGAAAAAGGGAAACAGGGCCTCGGTGAAGCCGAACTCTGTATATGAGTAGATGTGTGCTTCGGCCTCTGCGTCGTAAAAGGACACTGTCCCGTCCTCGTAATCCAGAAACACTCCGATGACCTGCGGCCTCCGAGGCAGACACAGCAGCTCCGCCTGGCCCGCGCACGCCCGGTACTCCATGCCCTTCCTCAAGCAGACGGCCCAGTAGCCGTCCTCCGGGCTCAGCGTGACCAAACCTTTCCTGCTGATGGACTCTCGAGCCACGCCCAGGTCCCACGCCGTCTTGTCTCCAACGTGCACTTCCCAGTAGTGTCTGCCGGTGGTGAAACCCTGCAAAGATCACGGGGATCATCTAGTTTCCAAAGTATTGAAACAGAGACACAACATTGAGCAGCATATGTCAAAGGAGGGTTTCTTACTGCGAGAGCGAGGACACATGGAGCTTTGTCAAAACGCTCCGGCGCGTCCTCCACCCGTTGCTCAAAATCTCCGTCCCTCACCTGCCTCCCGTCCTCTGACAGGAAGAGCCACGGGTTGGCAGTCTTGGGGTCCAGACGAACATCATCTTGGCAGGCCGAAAAACAGA